GACAATTCGGGAAATGGAGACGCGATTATTCGAGCCTCGCGGCTCGATTTTTATGCTTGCCGATTGTCAACGATTATAAAAGCAAGCTGCAAGGTTATTTTAACAATCGTATCCTCTCTTATCGAATTGTCCATTTTTGTTTATAATCTGCAGGAAAATTAGGGAGAATTCACTGTACTTGCGAACGAGCACAAATTCGATTATTTTCTGTACATGTTATAAATACTGTAAATTCTTCCTAATTTACGCTCAGATTATATACAAAAATGGACAATTTAGAAAGAGAAAGATACGATTATTCGAGTCTGGTACCTCGTTTTTATAGTCACCGATTATCAACAACAATAACAGCGAGCCGTAAGGCTGGAACAATCGCAGCTTTTGTTCCCGAATTGTCCATTTTCGTTTCGCAGCCGAGGGTCAATCAGAGAGAATTTACTGTAAACACTATTTTAAGTATACGAATCAGACTTCCATCTCGCATCTTTAGCCTCGATTTATAATAAATAAATACCGCAAGTATAATAAATCGAGGCAAAAGATACGACTAGCCGAATTCGTTCGCTCGACGAATTTCGCGTCGAAAGATCCTCCCGATCGGGCGGAGATTCGCGCGGGCAACGAATGAATGACGCAGAAACAGGAATTCGCATAAAAATCCACAGTCGAATTTTACAAGGCATTACTTAACTTTCTTTATTACGTATAACGTCTCCATATCGTACGATTATATCTCAAAATCATCTTTCAATGTCAGTTAGTTTGAACTCGTCGAAGGTTATGTCAAGGTGTGTACTTCGGGCGGGGATAACAATGAGAGGAAAACTCGTCTCGTTAATGATTTTACCGATGCTTTTTTGTTCAAATCAACGATTACAGACACCGTCGTTACATCGTCGTAAAGCCAAACGGGGGACGCGACAAAACGATATCTCAATGGGGGGCGTGTGTGTGTGTGCATCAATTTACACGACGATAAATGGAACAAGGTCGCGAGGGATCGTACAAAAAAGTCACGTTTGTCAGCGACACTCGTCGAAAATCAACGGGGGGGATTCGAAATGAACGTTCTCTCCGATTCGATAACGATGCTATAATCCGCCGATTGCCGAGCTGATTTTTTTAACGGGGAACCGCCGAAAGCGCGCGGCCTCCCGAAGCCGAGGCGACCATAAACGCAGTCAACATTCTCATCGTCCCCGCGGCGAAAGACGACATTCCACCTCGCCGTGATCGGTATGGAAATATCGAAGGGGTATTCTCGAATTTTTGTTTCACTCGTTTCCCTCCGCCGACCCTCCTCAGATTCGTCTTCTTATTATGTTTTTTTTTCGGTTTGCTTCGTATGGCATGCTATTACCTGTATATGACACATTTACAATAATAACAATATGTTTTACTTTTTTGCTCGTCGACAATCGCCACGGTCCACCTCGCTCTCCTCTTAACTCGTACGGTTTTTTTTTCTTTATGTATACGTGTATATTTATATACTCATATTTATATATTTATATATTTATATAATCCGAAAAGTTGTTGTTTTTATTTTTCAGTGTGTTCGGTGGGTGTCTGTTCACGTTCTCCGTTCATTGTCTCTTTCTCTCTCTCTCTCTCTCTCTCTCTCTTTCTCTCTGTGTACGCGTAGGATGTGTTTATCTCTCTGTGTGTGCGCGCGTATATATGTGTGTGCGTGTGTATGCGCGTGGGTGCGCGCCTGTGGTGTACGTACGTGTGTGTGTGTGTGTGTGTATCGTCGAAGGTCCTGGACCCCCTCTTCCTCTTAAACCAACCGCTTTTTGTTTTCCTTCGTTCGATCCTCGCGAACCCTTCTCACATAGATCCGAACTTTCAAAACCCGTTCAAGCTGCCTTTTTATCACAAAATTTCGAACCACTCGCTAAATCATTCGTGTCTCACGCTTCGTACGTTCAGAAATGATTGAACTAGGCGAACAGAGCAGCAGCATACGCCTCGTCACGGGCGCATCATTTTCTTCTCTTCAATTTGTTCAGCATTTTCTCGCATTTTGCGCATTGTTCACAGTCTGTGCGTGATTACACGAATTCTGTTAAACGTTAAAGATTCGCCTGTTAATAGACGGACATCGAATTCGCGACTCGTTATCAGCTTCCGATTGTTTCTCGATTCGACGAAAAATTCTCTCGAATCTTTTCGTTTTGTTTTTTGATGCGGATATTAACGATTCAAGAATTTTGATCGAACGGGTGGTTTGTGCACCGGCAACGAGGCAATGCTGCGGTAATACTTCCTATTGAAACTGAATGGAGACAATAGAATGTCAATTATATTACTAGAGAACCGCCAAAACACCTGATTATTTTATTTGTTTCAAACGATTTCTCGATTCTTGGGCGTCGAAGAAGGATTGTTAAAAATTGTCCGCCTCTTTCGTCCCTCGCCTTGCAATATTGTTGCAATGGAAATCTTAAGGTCATCGAAATAAATAATATATAAAAAAATATAATATAATATATAATAATAAAATATAAATAACAATATATAGTAGTAATATATATTAAATATATTAATATATATTATTACTATCATATTATTATTATTATTATTATTATTATTATTATTATTATTACTATTATATATACTGTATAAATAATACATAAAAGAAATATAATATAATGTAAATAATATAGTATATTATATATAATATATATAATAATGAAATATAAATAATCGTATATAGTAGTAATATATATTAAATATATTAATATATATTATTATATTATTATTATTATTATTACTATTATATATACTATAATATATTATAATGTATATAATATTTATATATAACATATGTAATATAAAAAAATATCGTCTCAGAGACAAACAATGACAGCAAAAAAATGCCACAGACACATTTTAAACACGTTCCGATATTTCGATCAAGTTCAACGAAGCATCGCAAGGCCAGGGATCACAGAATTTCACGAAGCAGTTATCATTGTGCAACATTTTCCTCCAAGAAGTCAGAGATGAATCACCGGAGAAGAAAATATAATTTCTCAATTTTTTGAAATATATCTTGCGCGGTGGAATCTTGTGCGCGCGGCACTATCGAATGGCAAAAATACAAATCGGCATTACTCGTAACGCAGAAATTGTTAAACGAATCTCGATTATTCGACATTAATCGGTTACTATTCCAACGAGCATGGTTTTCGATTATCGTAATTGTTGTGCTCGCCAAAGGATTATAATTCGCGTCGACCAAAAAAAACGGTCGACGACGAACGAAAAAATAAGAATAAAGATCGTTCTTCGTGCACGACCTCGATAGTATTATCAAAAAAAAAGAAAAAAGAAAAACGTGTTTCCCCTCGATTCTTCGTTATGTATATCCTTACGCACGCCTAGGTAAAAATTTTTATACGTTTATTGCACCAAATTTTGCCTTGTCCCCGCTTCCCGCGCGGCTCGCGCTAATAAAGTGAAATCAAGGATTACAATATTAAATACTTCGTCGGTAAATTTTGTTATTGTTTTTTTTCTTTTTTTTGTAGATATTAGCGTCGAATACAAAGAGAGAAATAGTATAAAAATTGCTTTCCGATTAGATATACTTGGTAAATCGTTTACGATCGTTTACATAGGTCCATTATAATGCTCCTATATATTAGTGCATTTATATTCATAGATTTGAGTCCGCGTTGCTCCAATTTGTTTTTCAATGAATCGCCCCAACATCCGATCACAAGGATGTTCTAAATGCTTGCTGAAGATCATCGGCTCGTTTCGTGGCACGCTCAACACGTACGAGGATAGAAAACCATGCCTTCGCATTTTCGAACAACACAGTGTAATCAATGCAACGGGTCCCGTATATTGTTATTCAATTTCACGCTGCTTAATCGATATAATCTTGAAATCGCTCGAAGTTCCGCGACGCGAACAAATGAAATGGGATCTCGCTTTCTCGATAATTCCGATTTTCCGTAGAACTCGTCCTCTCGTCACGAGGATCATTCCCGTCACGAAACACGAAGCTCCGCGAAGCTCCGTCTTCGTGNTATATTAAATATATTAATATATATTATTACTATCATATTATTATTATTATTATTATTATTATTATTATTATTATTACTATTATATATACTGTATAAATAATACATAAAAGAAATATAATATAATGTAAATAATATAGTATATTATATATAATATATATAATAATGAAATATAAATAATCGTATATAGTAGTAATATATATTAAATATATTAATATATATTATTATATTATTATTATTATTATTACTATTATATATACTATAATATATTATAATGTATATAATATTTATATATAACATATGTAATATAAAAAAATATCGTCTCAGAGACAAACAATGACAGCAAAAAAATGCCACAGACACATTTTAAACACGTTCCGATATTTCGATCAAGTTCAACGAAGCATCGCAAGGCCAGGGATCACAGAATTTCACGAAGCAGTTATCATTGTGCAACATTTTCCTCCAAGAAGTCAGAGATGAATCACCGGAGAAGAAAATATAATTTCTCAATTTTTTGAAATATATCTTGCGCGGTGGAATCTTGTGCGCGCGGCACTATCGAATGGCAAAAATACAAATCGGCATTACTCGTAACGCAGAAATTGTTAAACGAATCTCGATTATTCGACATTAATCGGTTACTATTCCAACGAGCATGGTTTTCGATTATCGTAATTGTTGTGCTCGCCAAAGGATTATAATTCGCGTCGACCAAAAAAAACGGTCGACGACGAACGAAAAAATAAGAATAAAGATCGTTCTTCGTGCACGACCTCGATAGTATTATCAAAAAAAAAGAAAAAAGAAAAACGTGTTTCCCCTCGATTCTTCGTTATGTATATCCTTACGCACGCCTAGGTAAAAATTTTTATACGTTTATTGCACCAAATTTTGCCTTGTCCCCGCTTCCCGCGCGGCTCGCGCTAATAAAGTGAAATCAAGGATTACAATATTAAATACTTCGTCGGTAAATTTTGTTATTGTTTTTTTTCTTTTTTTTGTAGATATTAGCGTCGAATACAAAGAGAGAAATAGTATAAAAATTGCTTTCCGATTAGATATACTTGGTAAATCGTTTACGATCGTTTACATAGGTCCATTATAATGCTCCTATATATTAGTGCATTTATATTCATAGATTTGAGTCCGCGTTGCTCCAATTTGTTTTTCAATGAATCGCCCCAACATCCGATCACAAGGATGTTCTAAATGCTTGCTGAAGATCATCGGCTCGTTTCGTGGCACGCTCAACACGTACGAGGATAGAAAACCATGCCTTCGCATTTTCGAACAACACAGTGTAATCAATGCAACGGGTCCCGTATATTGTTATTCAATTTCACGCTGCTTAATCGATATAATCTTGAAATCGCTCGAAGTTCCGCGACGCGAACAAATGAAATGGGATCTCGCTTTCTCGATAATTCCGATTTTCCGTAGAACTCGTCCTCTCGTCACGAGGATCATTCCCGTCACGAAACACGAAGCTCCGCGAAGCTCCGTCTTCGTGTCGCGAATTTTTCGGCACTGGGATTATTATAAAAATTAAGTAGCTGTCTCGAAATACTGAAAGGGTTCATATCATACACGAACGCAAACGGAAAGCACACGTTTCCTCAACGTACCGTGTCTCCGAACGAACCTAATCGCGATTAGGTCTGGCGATCGCTTGGAAATCAGATCCTTTGGAATTGCAATTATTTATTGTGATTTGATCGTTTATTCATTATTTTCTCGAAAATTTAAATTTTCCATTGTAATTGCTCTCTCTCTCTCTCTCTCTCTCTCTCTCTCTCAATTTGTCTGCGCGGATATTTGTAATAGCTTTTACATAAATAGAATTTACTTGAAAATGTTCCGAAATATTTATGAAAATTATTAATTAGAACGCCATGCGATTGCCAAGCCTGCGAACAGTTCGTCGAGAGACACGTTCACTCGATTCACATCGAAAACCTTACAGAGCACGCGATGCTGCATCGAGATCGAAAAATACTTGCTCCTATTTGTCCACGCGAAAGTTCGACTCTCGAGAGAAACGAATTCCAAATCGATACTAAGCTCTCGGGGAATGATTCTCTCGATTTAACAAGCAACGACGGAAACAATTAAAACCGTTTGCGATTCACGTTAATGACCAAACCGTGGTATGCATTGTTAACCAAATTGAAAAATTTCGCAAAAATTAAACGATAAAGAATCCTATTAAATTTATTTTACATCGCATATTATTTCATCTTCATTTGTCCCCTACTTTTATCCAGATTAATCTGCTCGTTCAATTAATCAATTTGGAAATAGAAGAATAGAATTTTATACATGATAAAATAAAGCATATAATATAGATATTAAAATAATACATGTAATGTATATATATAGAATTGAAAATAATCGTATTGAAAATAATATATCATAATCGAAGGAATCACAATTGCTTTCGAAATTAGATAACATAAGATCACTCGCATCTTTCACGACTAATAAATTAATGAGCAGAAAACGCCACGCTTCGAAAACAATATAAAATATACTATATCGATATAAAGGATAAATAAGATATAATATATATTATATATAATAAATTATATCAATAATATATAATGTCTTTAACACACTTGGAACTTCTAGCTCAGAATAAAAAATTCATTTTCACGTCGATCCGCGTTCTATCTTCCCAATTTGATTATGATTGAAATTGAAATGTAATAATATATTGAAAATGTAATTCACGCGATTCAATCCACCCTTCCGATATAAATAAATATATTACCTTAATTGCACAAAACTTCTTAAGTTTTCGCGGTTTTTTTTTTAAGAAAAAAAGAAACTGTCGTAAAAAGAACAGAAATAATAAAAAAAGAAAAAGAAGAATTTACAGCATGCAAGAAACCTCTCGATCCCGGCGCAGCATCGAGCAAGCTCACCAAATCGTCGCCGGCATTACCGCGTCAAACAATCGCAAACGCGACGAATTTCCCCATGGAAATGGCCTCCTCTTCGCGCAGTTCATAATAAAATACACGTTTTCACGAGCACGTCGCAGTATCCTGTCCCCGTTCATCCGATCGTTTTGCCACAAAAATCCGAGCCAGAAAAATCGAGCCACACACCTCGGTCCGTTCGCCCCCTCAATCCCCCCCTCCCCCATCCCCCATGAACACCGATCCTCCTCGTCGTCTACAATTATGTACAGGGTGGAAATTGATTAATTGTCCTGATATCGCTCGCCTCGCTAGTAGCTCCCGTTCACCGATCACTCTCGCGCGCATCTTCGTTTTCTCTTTTCTCTTTTTATAAAAAATTGATTCGTTTCACCAGATACTTATCGTTTAACACTTTCCATCGTCGTCGTCCTCCCCCTCCTCCTCCTTCTCCTCCTCCGATCGAGCCGTGTTTCGTTCTTCTCTCTTCCCAATTCTTCGCTCCCACACTCCCCCCCCCCTCCATCTTATTCCCATTCGACCTTAAAATTAAGCTCGTGCGATTCCGCGGTGAACCGGTTGGGGCTGGGTTTTCTCCCTAGATGTTGAGAGCCGTCGGCAGCCGTTGACAGCGCGTGGCTTATGAAAAATATTCTCGAAGACAACCGCGCGGCCCATCACAGATAGTTCCGGCGTCGGAGGTACGGGGTGCTCTCTTTTTGTTTATTTTCGCGTCTTCTTTTACAACGAGACACGTGCGCACACTTTCAACGTTGTTCCACACACTCTCACCGCTATGTCTCGCTCTTTCTCTCAATCTCTCTCTCTCTCTCTCTCTCGCTCTCTCGCTCTCTCTCTCGCTCACCCTATCTCTCCTCCCTAAACTTAAAAGGTAATCAAGGTCGTTCCCTATGTATATCGTATGTAACAAGAGTCGTCGGTTTGGCTATGTACACGTTCGGAGGCCCCGGGATGCCTTCCCGTCCGTTCGGTTAGCCGAACAACGGGGCCTCGTCTCCGGTGTTCCGGCCCGCGGGCAAAACGCCCCCCCGGGCCGTGATAATAATCGTTCGTGGATCCTCGCAGGAACAGCGAGGAGCACCATTGTGAACCGGTCGCTTACGTAAAGGCTTGTGTTGCTAATATGTACACACCGCCGGGGGCCCCGGCCGAAGAAGAATAAGAGGTGTTTTCCGCGTCGCGTCGCGGCGAAGTCCTTTGGGCCCCCGGACGGATCGTTTAATTTGTTTGTTTTTTTTTATTAAGTTTAAGGCAGTGTCGTTCGTTCGTGGCGACGAACACGTGTGTTCATTCCAGATTCGTTGCCGGATCGGCCGCGCGAAATCCTCCCTCCGGGCGGGGGCTACGCGTTCACCGGCTGGCGGAACAGGGCCCCCGGTCCTCGGGGCCTCGTCCGGTAGGGCCGGGCCAGCTTGCCGGGGTGCCAGAGCAACGCCAGGACCAGCAGCTGCCACCGGGACGCGTCCAGCGCGGTTCGTGACGGCGATGACGATGAGGACGATGTTTCGAATACGACTTCGAAGCACGGCCCCGTGTGTCATACGGGCTCCTCGCGCTTGAAGTTGATGTTCTGGGAGGCGCAGAAGTCCCTAGTGAACGGGATACAGTTGAACAGCTTGCACACCTCGCACTCGTACACCGGCACGTTGTAGAACAACGTGAGCAGCAGCGTGAACAGCACCACGATCAGGATCATGCAGATCCAGATCAGCCAGATCTTACGGCGACGGTCGTAATGGCCGAACGAAATGAACGGCATCAGCGCGTACGCCGCCAGGAAACCGAAGATGAAGCCGAACAGGTGCGCGTAGTTGTCCACCCACGGGAGGATACCGAGCACCAGCAGCGACAGCAGGATGAAGATCAGCTTCGACAAGGCGCGGCGAGGGTGCTTCAGCATCGGCCAGCAGTGCAGCACCTCCACGATCAGCGTCGCCAGGAGCGCGAAGTGCGCGCCTGCTGGACCCACCTGGAATCATTCAATTGCACCAGTGCGTTAATTTTACGTCGAGATACTTGAAGTCTTCGGCTACGACGTTTCAGAAATTTCGAGGAATTTCGGGGTCGTTTGGAAACTGCTTTCTGCTCGTTTCTGATAATCGGATGTGTTATGTCGCGACTAAATACTGCTTGAGTTTACAGGATAATCCGACAATGTCTCGTAATCTGGAAATGGGAGGTGCCTGAGGTGATTTGAAGTAACTTTTTCCTTTGCGAAATTGCAATCCAAGGCTTCGTTTGCGAGTTATTAACGGAAAACTGTGACCAATGAGAGACGCGCTTGGACCACGCGGGGCGGGCGAGTCAATTAGCCGAGCCAATGGGCTTCGACCGCTCGTTGACTGGCCCGCCTCGCGCTAGTCGAGCGCGCCTCTCATTGGTCGCTGTTTTTCGTTGATAACTCGTAAACGAAGCCGCGGATCGCATTTTCGCTAAGGAAAAAGTTACTTCGAATTACCTCAGGGATCTCCCCTTTCCGGGGGGTAATATAATTGTGTATATTGCGTCGATGGAACGAAACTTTTTCGATTTAATGCTATCGGATTAATCGTTAGAGCTAGAGCGAAGCCGTTAAGTCATCGACGCAATGGTAAACAATTACATTGACGTTATTAAATGTCTCGAATCTTTCTACTGTTTCAAATAATATTGTTTCAAATATTCTTTCAAACAATAAGTGCCCATGTTTGTCACAAGTGCATAAAATCGGCAGTCTACTCGTAACAAACATGTCTCAATAATTTAATATCTATAATATTAATATATATTTATTATATATAATGATATTCGTCTTCGATTATTTTCGCGCAGATAATTTTCTACAAATAAATGTTCCACATATTCCATAAATATTCTATAAATTAAACGACCGGATTCCAATTTTGTTCACTTACAATTTCAATAAGAAATCTTTAGTCGAACTTCATCGTTCAAACTTATACTACAATTGAAACCGCGCAGAGTATAATCGGGTTCAAANCGCGGATCGCATTTTCGCTAAGGAAAAAGTTACTTCGAATTACCTCAGGGATCTCCCCTTTCCGGGGGGTAATATAATTGTGTATATTGCGTCGATGGAACGAAACTTTTTCGATTTAATGCTATCGGATTAATCGTTAGAGCTAGAGCGAAGCCGTTAAGTCATCGACGCAATGGTAAACAATTACATTGACGTTATTAAATGTCTCGAATCTTTCTACTGTTTCAAATAATATTGTTTCAAATATTCTTTCAAACAATAAGTGCCCATGTTTGTCACAAGTGCATAAAATCGGCAGTCTACTCGTAACAAACATGTCTCAATAATTTAATATCTATAATATTAATATATATTTATTATATATAATGATATTCGTCTTCGATTATTTTCGCGCAGATAATTTTCTACAAATAAATGTTCCACATATTCCATAAATATTCTATAAATTAAACGACCGGATTCCAATTTTGTTCACTTACAATTTCAATAAGAAATCTTTAGTCGAACTTCATCGTTCAAACTTATACTACAATTGAAACCGCGCAGAGTATAATCGGGTTCAAAAGCTCCAAAGAATTACAGTAAATTCTCCCCGAATTTTCCTTCAGCTTGCAAACAAAAATGGACAATTCCGGAAGAGGAGATACGATTATTCGAGCCCTGCGCCTCGTTTTTATAATTCTCGACGATCGGCAACTACTATAATCGCATCTCTTCGTCCCAAATCGTCCATTTTTGGTTTACAAGGAAAATCGGGGAGAATTTTCTGCGATTCGCGAAGCTCGCGAGCAAGGCCAAGCATCGAGCACAAAAATTCGAGCAACGATGCGATCCCGACGTACCGAATCCATCATGTTGGTCCCATAAACTATTCGCCGGATCCACAAAACCGACGAACAGAGCGTGCCCGTCACACCGGCGACGCATTAAATGTCTTAGTCTCGGGCCGCGCAAACTCGTGTAACACGCGAATAACGAGGAACAAGCTCGTTACGGTAGCGTTGCGCGTGCGGTAATGGTTGCCATGATTGAGACGAAGTAACTCCGCGTCCCAGGGAGGCCGATTACCATAACAGAACCCGCCGGCGGAATCATCGAACGTGTTCGAAACCGTAATATAATGTACCGGTTGCGGAAATGATCGCGCGCGATACCGCGCCGAGGTGAACGTGACCGGGTTTAAAATTCGCCGATAGCGTAATCAGGTCCGCGGGGCAATAATTAATGAGGCGGTGGGTGGTTGTAGCGTTTATATCGGCGATCTGGTTGCTCGGGGCATGCTGCACCTTCGGGCCGGACTAATCAAGACGAATTCGACTGGTTCACCGACAATGCCACTTTCATGTCCCGCTTTATCCGACGTCGTTCCGGCACTGTTCCGTTCGAATTACCGGAATGTCAACCTTTTTGTGCAAAATACAAATTTTCCGGGACGATTACACGAAGCAGAAATTTCATAACAATTTTCCAAGACGACTGCACGCAGCAGAAATTAAATATGGATTGTTTCTTTTCTTTAATAAGTATAATAGTAACTTTAATCCTTTGCACTCGAGTGGCGACGCGAAAGATTGATACACTGTTCTCAAAAGGATTTTCACACATTATTTAATTTGTATTCGATGAATTGTCAGTTAATAGAAGTCCTCTATAAGCGTACGCGTTCAATTTCATAATTAAATAGAAAGAATCGTGCCAAATGAACTATTATCGTGGGTTGAAACAAGCGCCTTCGTACTGCAAAGGGTTAATAAATTGAAAATACTGTTATTCAATACATTCCGTGTCTTCGCAATTTCATATTTCAGCTGCTCGTTTTTGCCGCAGATCCACAAAATCCGCGGCCCAATTGTAGAAGCGTTTTTTTTACACTTCGACTGCCGAAGCTCGCAAGATCTCAAGAAATTATAAACTTAAAATCAGATAATTCGAAAATTCGTGGAGGAACGTAAATTAGGAGATAAAACTGTGCTATTTTTCGTGTTTTTTGTATCAAAGCGAAACGTTGTATATCGATATTTTTACAGTTGAAATTAACGAGGTTTGCAAACGCGTTTCTTGAAATTCTATCGTTTCGAGATCGTCACGATCTCGTTACTCGTACATTTCGGTATTGCGTTGATCTCGGTGCTCGTACATTTCGCTATTTTATTGATCTCGGTGTGCTCTCATAGATTTCGGTATCGCAACGATTTCGGTGCTCGTGGATATCGCGGTATCGCGACGATTGTCGGCGCAGCAAAGATTCCGGCGCTGCAAAGATTTCGGCGCTGCAACGATTCCAGCGCAGCAAAAATTTCGGCGCAGCAAAGATTTCGTCGCTGCAACGATTGTCGGCGCAGCAAAGATCCGGCGTTACATCGATTCCGGCGCGGACTTATTAGCAACGACACCGGCATCAAAATCGTACCGGTTTCAAGCCTCCCCCTCTCTCCCCCCGGAATAGAATTGACGTGCAGCAGCGGCCGGAGTTCGCCGGCGTGTTAACGGGTAAACTATCGGGCGATAAGACGCCGGTAGCGCAGGAACGGCGTCGTAAAACGAACGATTGTAATACCGTTACCGTTTCCCGTGGAATATGAGTCACGGCGCGGCAACGTGGTCCCCGAGCAATTACGTCGACCCGACGACGCCGGGTCAAAGAGTCGATTAAATCGACGATACACAATGAAATGCTCCGTTAAACGCGCCGTGAGATTATTCAATTAAAACTTCGCGGCGACGCCGGCAACGGCCAATAAAATCGTGCCGGTGCGACGCGACGCGGCGGCGGCCAATTAAAGCCAGATAGCCGAATTACAATTTCTTGCCGAAAAAGAAAAATGGACAACGGCGCGTTTCTTGTTCGTCGGAGAACCGGGGATAATTGAATCATAGAGCGTTGTCTTCTCTTTTGTTAGAACGTGTTACGAGAATGCGACGGAGATGCGGTTCTTCGCGCAATTTGAATAATAAATTGCGGCTAGATCGTTGCGTCATTTTTGGTATTGGTAATTGCAAGTGGAACGATTATTTCGTCTTTGATACTATTTGTATACGAAACGGGGCGGTCTCTTTTGCGCAATCGCTTTCTTACTTCTTGCAGAAATGATTCTTTTTCAAAGGAAAATGGACAATGAGAAAGTCTTTCAACGTAAGTCTGTTAGAAAGAAATGAAACAGTTATGTTCAAACAATATTCTCAGAAAGGAACGAGATGTATTTCTTTGAACGAAGAATAGTAAAACATGTGTCGAGATGAAATAATAGAACATTTCGTTGTTAAATAGTTGGCCTTTTCCATCAGTTGTAAACGGAGCAACTTTTTATTCGTTCGTCGTCGTCGCGCGCGAAGTAAAAAATGCTCCTTTCTCGTCTCTTCTAATTGTTAGCAATTGTCGTTGACGTCGATGTAAAATGAACGGCGCTAATTCTGATTCAATGGGGAGCTCGCGATAATTAAATTACACGGCAAAAGTTACGGATCTGCGACAACTACTCTTCCCGCTGATGTGAATGTTGTACGATTTCGGAACAGCGACGCCGTGTGACGTCTCTGTATAATAATTCTCCGCGCCTCGAACTGTGCGGCACGTACTACGATTCGTACGAAAATTCAAATTTACAACTCACCTCCGCCCTGTAAGGTACGAATATCGCACTGGCCAGGTTTCCAGCTAGAGCCCCGATGAAATAGATCAAAGCGATGCGAAACGATCCCGTAAGCTTCTCCAAGTCTCGCATGAGGAAGTACTGAACCAATAGCGTGATGAATAGATGGAGAATTCTGGAAAAGAAGTCGTGGATAATTCGTCGGTGAAATTAATTGGACGACAGTGGTTCGAGAAATATTTACGAATAACAATTCCTAGGATCTTTATGCGAGATAAAGATTTTCTACATCGATTTGCAAATCGATTTTCAGGGTTAAAAATCGAAGGACATTTTTGTACGCTCTTTGGAAAATTCTTTGACAATTACCTAACCGATTTAGTCGTATTTTATGGGAGTTTTGATGGCAAAGCTTCTTGTAAGCGTGATCAGAGTGATCAGAGTGATCAAGATGATTAGAATAAGCAGAGTAATCAGAGTGATCAGAGTGATCAGAGTGATCAGAGTGATCATAGTAATCAGAGTGATCAGAGTGATCAGAGTGATCAGAGTGATCAGAGTGATCAGAGTAAGCAGAGTGATCAGAGTGATCAGAATAATCAGAGTGATCAGAGTGATCAGAATGATCAGAATGGGCATAGTGGTCATCGTGATCAAAAAGATCAGAGTGATCAGAGTGATTATCGTAATAAAAATGACCAGAGTGATCAGAATGATCAGAATGGTCATAGTGATCATCGTGATCAAAAAGATCAGAGTGATCAGAGTGATTATCGTAATAAAAATGACCAGAGTGATCAGAATGATCAGAATGGGCATAGTGGTCATCGTGATCAAAAAGATCAGAGTGATCAGAGTGATTATCGTAATAAAAATGACCAGAGTGATCAGAATGATCAGAATGGTCATAGTGATCATCGTGATCAAAAAGATCAGAGTGATCAGAGTGATTATCGTAATAAAAATGACCAGAGTGATCAGAATGATCAGAATGGTCATAGTGATCATCGTGATCAAAAAGATCAGAGTGATCAGAGTGATTATCGTAATAAAAATGACCAGAGTGATCAGAATGATCAGAATGGTCATAGTGATCATCGTGATCAAAAAGATCAGAGTGATCAGAGTGATTATCGTAATAAAAATGACCAGAGTGATCAGAATGATCAGNCAGAGTGATCAGAGTAAGCAGAGTGATCAGAGTGATCAGAATAATCAGAGTGATCAGAGTGATCAGAATGATCAGAATGGGCATAGTGGTCATCGTGATCAAAAAGATCAGAGTGATCAGAGTGATTATCGTAATAAAAATGACCAGAGTGATCAGAATGATCAGAATGGGCATAGTGGTCATCGTGATCAAAAAGATCAGAGTGATCAGAGTGATTATCGTAATAAAAATGACCAGAGTGATCAGAATGATCAGAATGGTCATAGTGATCATCGTGATCAAAAAGAGAGTGATCAGAATAATAACAGTGATCAGAGTGATCAGGATGATCAGAATGATCAGAATGACCCAAGTGATCACAGAATCCATTAAGCAGGCTTCTAATGGGCTCGGTATTAATAAATAACACGTCGATCGGTCGATTAATATCTCTTCGATAACGAAGCTTACCCGGCATGAAGGAAAATGGTGGTGAATAGCCTGTAGAACTGATCCGGCCACTCGGGATGGAGAAATGGGATCATGCCGCAAACGTCGTGCAAACACTCGACCTGGGAACAGAGGGACGCCTCCTCGTGGAAGTAGCCGTGCACGAAGTCGCAGTATTCTTTCGTGGTGATCCGACACATCCCGTGGATACCGATACAGCATGGGTGTCCGATCACCTCGCATACCATGTGCTCCGCCATTTTGTGCTTGTACTTGCCCACCGGGAAGCTTCCTGTACCCCTTTGGCTGCCGTTTCTACTGTTGGACAGGGCAAACGAATTTCCTCGATTTTAACTGTTCACCGAATATCCTATAGCTAATTCTCCCTAATTGACGCTAAGATCGTGCATAAAAATGAATAATTATTAGACCTCTCGCGGCTCATTTTTATAGTTAATAACAATCGGTAATTATGAAAACGAGCCCCAAGGCTCGAATAGTTTAATAATAATATTAATAATAATAATAATAATAATAATAGTCGTAGACGATCTCCTCTTCAAAAATTGACCATTTTTGCGCGCAATCTGAGCGTTAGGGTGATTAAAAATTAGGGAGAATTTACTCCCTAACTTGGGACTACAGAACTTATTGCTCGAATAGTTTAATAATAATATTAGTAATAATAATAATAATATTAATAATAATAATAATAATAATAATAATAATAATAATAATAATAATAGTCGTAGACGATCTCCTCTTCCAAAATTAACCATTTTTGCGCACAATCTGAGCGTTAGGGTGATTAAAAATTGGAGAGAATGTACTGTGCTTAGAACTACAAAACTTATCGCTCGAATAGCTTTATAATAATAATATTAATAATAATAATAGTCGTAGGAAGACGGTCGGAGCGCTTGTTGAAAATGTTTAATTAGAAGCCACGTTCTTTTATTATCGGCGTTAGAATTGCGGGATAACGAATTTACCTAAACCGTTGGTTGAACGGATTAGTCTTTCGGCAGATGGGCCATTTAGTGATGTCGTCCGGCCATTCGTACGGCGCAATGCTTGCCGGGGCGTCGCAAAACTTTGGATCCAATCCGCAAACTGATCCGCTTATCCGTCCACCGGGTCCGCTGTCTCCGGGTCCCCACTTTTTCCAGGTCGATATCGTGTTCTGGAATTTCAAGCGGCATTCAGCGTCGCGTTCGATCACGGAGAAGTCAACAACAAAAATGACGGCGCGCTACCATATTGCCGCATCTTTTATTTTCTACTTCGACCACGACGATAAATAACGAAAGCTTCGAGTGGATATTCGGACGATCAGCGGTTCGAGTGCGCAGTGCCATTCAAGTGGTGCATTCGGTGGAGCAATGCATTCCAAAATAATAATAAGAAGCAGCGATAAAAAGGAAAGTTGAGCATTCGCAAGCGAAGATTATTTTAATTATAATCATCTTATTGATATGAAATCGAGCCTGCTGTCTCGTACAGGAGTTCTTCTTTTAAATATAAACGGATTCGAGCAGATGCGAGTCATTTTGAAACGTGTTACGATAATTTTTATCAATGACTCAGAGCCATCGGTCGAGTGCGAAGGGTTAAAAGCAGATTTCGGCGATAAATGAGAGAAATTCGCACCTCAAGAAATACAATTCTATTCGATAATATTTTTTTCATAGAGATACAATAGAGCCTCTCTTATCCGAAACTTCATTTTTGCAATATCCAGATATCGAAACGTTTTATTATCGAAACATTTAATTCGAGTTCTTTATGTATCTAAATAAGATTAAACAATAGAACGTTTGGACACCAGAACATTGTAAAAATAACTGTTCGGACAAGGGAGTCTCAACGGTAGTTCAATCTACGATCTTAATTCATAATACTTCAGCAATCGGTACGACGTTAATTCGCTAAATCGCGCAACATAATTTAAACAACAGCAGACAGTGATCACGTTCGAAAACGCGGATCTCCGGAAAAATTCGAATTAAATTAAACGTCCATGCAACTCTGTCGAACGCAAGGCGATTTAACACTTTCTGCACGATATTTCCGACAACGAGCCTATTCATCGGACTAAAAGCGTGTCTATTTTCCTAAAATACATGAAACAGTTAGCATGCGGATTTCCAGGTTGCGCGGGGGGATGGGGGGAAGAAACAAGCGCGATCCATAGATATATCAGAGTGACATTTACCGTAGCAGTAGATCTCAGTCCCCGGACCAGTTGGTTCGCAAAAGAGAAGATCATATTATAAATAAAGGACCGGGAAACGCGGCGAAACGACGGGACGGGGGCTATTTTATAATAGATATCCCGGGCCGGGTAGTAGAAACCTGGATGAGAACTCACAGAGCAATCCGCTTTGCTGGACTGCACGCAGCCGGAGTCGTCGTTGCGGATGCAGCAGGCGGTGTCGCGCTCTCTTTCCCGCCAGACGTCGATCTCCTTCAGGATTTTAATGTCGCGACGCATGCAGGGCGCGAACTTCGCGCCCAGGTGAATCAGATCCGCGGCTCTCGGACCAAACCAGAAATTCGCTGGTTCCTGGTAGTCCACTTGCTGCAACGACAGGCTCGTCACGAGAACCTGCAACGAGTCGGCGATCATTGGTCCGATCGTTTCGCAAAATTGTTCGCTATCGGACTTCTTAATTTAATCTTATTTTCAACGAGTTTTAATTGCTCTACCTTCTATCTATTTTCGAGCATAATTAACTGTATCGAGTAGGATATGTTAAGTTTGTCTAGCAAGAAGAAATTAAAGTAAAAGAATAGGATAATTTGATGCGTCTTGTTCGATAAATATCGGAAATTAATTATGCAAGGAGACAAATGAAACTAAGAAGAATCAAACAACTTGGTACTTCTAGTATTCATTTATTTATTTATTTATTTCCTGGCTAGAAGAGTCCCTTCGAAAAGCACACAAAAAGGATACGAGTTAACGCTTGATTGAGTTTGATCAAGTCATGTCAAGTTTGTTTAGCAAGAAGAAATCAAAATAAAAGAATAGAACAATTTGATGCGTCTTGTTCGATAAATATCGGAAATTAATTATACCAGGAAACAAATGAAACTAAGAAAAATCAAACAACTTGATACTTCTAGTATTCATTTATTTATTTATTTATTTCCTGGCTAGAAGAATCCCTTCGAAAAGCAAACACAAAAAGGATACAAGCTAACGCGTTAATTTCGTTTCAAGCTTCCGAAGGTGCGATTCAAAGATAAATCGAGTTCGATCAAGTCTTTGGACAGTTGTCTGTTGTTTTTTAAACGACGATTGAAACTCACCAGTCCCGATCTGTGACTAAGGTCCATGCCGACAGGTCCGAAACCATAACACGCTAATGATATTATCAAAATGAGCACTTGAACGGTGGTTATCCAATACGTGAAGTATGGCCGATGATCCTCGAAATCATCCAATTGTTTCCTAACGTCTGGCTTCTGAGACACGCTCTTCCGAAACGATCTCCTGCAATCACACCGAACGTAGCTGATTAGAAGCGATAACACGTGGTTTATGACAGCAAGAAATTTCGTTCGCCTCGGCTTCTTCATTGCTTAATTGTATTCGCGTATCGTCCGAAGCTCTTGCCTTTTCCAAGAATTCAACGCGCTCGATGAATAAACATAAATACTAATAATAATTGTTGATACGAGAAACGATCGAATTTATTAAATATGTCACAATAGATAGATTCTACTCTATTACGAAACTGCGACATGCTTTCCGTCCATTGTCTAACGATAATAGTTTCGAGGACATTTTCCATTCGCGCAGGTTTATCGACGTCTGCGACGGCTACGTTCCGCTTGACATTTTTTAAATATCACGGAAGCAGTTTTTTTGAAAGTTTCGCCTCGTAATCTTGCCGCGCTTATGACATTTACCGGAAGTTAAGGACGAGTCGCCGAGAAGGAATATACAGGATGTCACGAAAATGTCTCGCAACCCGGAAATGGGAGGTTCCTGAGGTTATTTGAAGCAACTTTTTCTTTTGCGAAAATTTTCTCCGTGGCTTCGTTTACGAGTTATTAACGAAAAACAGTGACCAATAAGAATCGAGTACGGCTGACGCGAGGCGGCCCGGCCAACCAGCGCACGAAGCCCAGTTCCGTCCATTGGCTCGGTCGCCTCGCGCCAGCCGAGCTCGCCTCTCATTGGTCACTGTTTTTCGTTAATAACTCGTCAACGGTGCCTCGGAGAAAATTTTTGTAAAGGAAAAAGTTGCTTCGAATGACCTGTGGAACAGTTATTTTGATGAAACTAGGTCGCCGTTTAATAAAGCGCACTCATCGAATGCCCGGCTCATTCGAACAACGAAACCTGGAGAATTCGATTCTCGAATCGTGGCTGCTCCCGCGCGACTTTATCTCGTCGCGTAAAATTTCTATGAAATAAAAACAACGACGCTAAATACATATCTGCGAACGTTTAAATTCGTTCCCGTTTCCCGGCGAGAGAAAAGAAAAAAGAGCAGATGTTATAAATTGAAACTCTGTTTATTAGAAAAAAGGAAGGACTTATTTATCGTTGGCTCGGCCAACAATTTATTTATCGAACGGGGCCCGGAATTTTCGGCAGATTCGATATCGGATTCCGATGCAATATCTTTCTCTACGTATAATAATGGCAGAGATTTCCGGCAACGGCGTCCGGCCAATATTTCGGCGGCCATTGAAGTTTCACTTCTAATAGGATCGAGACCGGTTCACCTGTCGAACAAACAGAGAGAGAGAGAGAGAGAGAGAGAGAGAGAGAGAGAACGGACAGGTTCTATTTTTTCTCGGAGGCAAAAAAAAATATATCGATCGGTGCACGGCCGAAATGATTGCGCGCTTATTTCCTTTCGCGGCTCGGCGTCGAGTGCGAGTCGCTCGCAGTCGGGACACGTTCCATTGTTCGTCTGCGGAACTTTTTTTGTTGTTGTCCCGCGGCGTCGATTGCTCGGCGATTCAGTGTCACGGGGCGTTGACAAATTGTAAACGAGCCCGGAGTTTTGACGAGCGACCGGCCAGAGGAGGAGGACGAGGCTCTCCCTCGAATAGAATTATTCGTATGGAAATTCATTTGGCGATCGTTCCGGAATCGATTCCTTCATCGACGCGGAACAACGACCGTGACAATGCAGAATGATTGCTCAGTATCTAATAAACGCGGTGTACACGGACAAACCGACGGGATCCCGCGTTTATTATACGCTCGTTCGCGCCGGTTTACGGCGCGCCCGTAACGTCCACGCAAACGGAATCCCGCTGCGAAAGAAACGCGGCGAACAATGGCAGCTACAAATGCGTTTGTTCGGTCGATGCCTTCGCCGGTAATATTTCACACGTCAGTTAAGAACACAAATCGGAGCCGATATTGTCACCGGCGTTGGGCGGATTAAAATTTACATCGTCGACGAGACAATTTTTCGTTTATTTCACGGTGCGATCGAACGCGGTAATAAAAAAAAAGGCTAACGAAATTTGTCTGGAAAATGTTTGCGCACGATTTTCCAAGCCACGCGAGCATTTCGATGAATGTCATATTTAAATGAATATCGAGCATGGCAAGCGATACAAGCGATTACACGTCGCATATTATTGCGTTGCAACGCTGCAACGCGAATAAAGGACCCGGGTGCAACATTTTTAATCCGGCAAACGTTGCGAGCATAAATGTTCTCCGTGAAAGAGTCGAACACGCGTAATAAGATCGTTAAACAGTTTTTATAAATTCCAGCACAAAGACAGCCGTTTTATTTCGACCAACAAAGGCTCCGCCTTTCCATTGAATTCTATTCAAAGGAACAAGAATTACCTTTTCCACCGGCTTTTAATAAAAATTGATCCCGGGACAAATTAAAAAAAAAAAAGAAAAAACGTGCACCGACTTTATTAAAAGCGATTTACAAATATATAGTTAAAATACAATTTTCGTTCGTATCCGTATTAAAAAAAAAAAAGGGGGGAACAAGAATTACCGTGCCACCGATTTTTAATAAATCCCAGGAGAAACCGAAAATGCAGCGACATTATTAAAAACGGTTTACAAACACAGCGAAGCACCGGTTTTAATTTCATCTCGTACCGAGACGGAACGAGGATTGCCGTCCGACTACATTTCGAAAGCAAATTCTTCCCGAAAAGCGAGAAGAAACGCGTGTTAAAGTTACGAAGATTTGATTGTTTGTAACTCCAGAAGCGTCGAACGTTTCGCGGTGTAATCGACGCCGCCGAAGAGCGGAAAGCCTGCCGAATAAAACGGCCTTTTTCCCGTTCCGATATCTCGAACAGTCGCCGAGATACGGTTGTTTAAAGGGAACCCTAATCTTTGCTGGCCCGCGCTCTCTCTCTTTTTTGTCTCGCTCGCGCAGCCTCCCTCCCTCTCTCTCTCTCTCTCTCTCTCGCACAATTGTAACTCTGACCTGCCTCACGCGCGGAAGGCTTGCGCTGGTCAGTAACAGACGCTGACTCAGCGTTTCTTTACTACCGCCCACGCCGCGCGTACGCAATCCTGAATGAATGTAGGTCAGGGCGCTTCCGGCTATTTGGCCGCGCGTACATTTTACACCCTCAACTTCGAATCCCTGTATCGCCGGACCGGATCGAGCTATCGACTTGGGACAAAGTTCATTATCAAGGGCGAACCATCCGCTATCCGCCGAATTATCGAACTTCCCGAAATTAATCGCACTTCCCGCCGTAATTTCGGGTCAAAGTTCACCCCGTTTTACGCAAGCTTCAACCGATCTTTTTAAATTGGTTAAATTAATAAATTTTCTGATGCGTTGTTCGCGTTATTTTTGGGCAACGAACACGGCAATGTTTATTTTATAATTATGAAAATTGTGAACTTTCACGGGAGATCGGTAAATCTATTCAATCGAATTTTATGTTAATATAAAAATTGGCGAAATATCGAAGTAAGCTCAGTCTTATGTTAATTAAAATTCGAATTCGTTGGTTAAACGTGTTCAAGATAATTCTCCAAATTGTATATAATTTGGAGAATTAATATATAATAATTATATAATATTATTATATTATATATTATTATATAATATTATTATATTATATATTATTATACAATATTATTATATTATATATTATTATATAATATTATTATATTATATATTATTATGGCTCCTCTAAAGACAGAAGTCTCGCAGTTTCTGCAATACATTTTTAAACAAAGTCTGACGAGATTTATTAACGTGGAGGAACTCACCCGAAGAATCTGCCGACAATTCCCATGCCGTACTGTCGCCTGTTACTGTTGTCGAAAATCCGGTCGATGGTGTTCGATGGAATCCTCGAAGGTCCGGTCGTGTCCCCCCTAAGTGTCACCCCCTCGTCCTGCTGGCTTCTGGTGCCCTCGGCCAACGAGGCGTCGTACCTCGACCTGCTCCAACTCGTTGTTCTGTAATCTCCTTCTCGTTATAGATCATGACGGCGCGCACTCGACGTCGGGCTCTTTTATTTCCCCGGGCCGACGTCGAGTCCTGATACACTCGAATTTCAGGGTCTAATCGAACGATCTCGTGCCAGAGGCTAATCAGATTTCCCGGCGACGCAGACGCTTGAATTTTTCAGCGCAGAAACTTCGGCTCCTCTTTATTATCCGCGGGATCTTAATTCACCGGAACCGGCGGACTCGACATTGAATCACAGCGGAACTCCGGTTTATCCGAACCGCATTTATGCGAACGAAATATCCGCGAGTGCCCGCTTTTGCGGATCCCGGCTGAGCTCCTATTATCTGAACTTAATCTCGGCTATTGCTATAATCCGATGCGTCGAACTCAAGATCAATTGAGCCTGATATAAATTTGTGTAAGCGAATATGCGAGCAAGACACGGACCCGGGTAAAAATATTTGAACCGAGAAATACAAATATTTGCGAACAATGTTTCGCGAAACTGTGTTACATGTGTTCGATTCGAAATAATAATTGACAAATTAAAAGTGAATAAAAGTGACACATTAAAAGTGGATTATTAATGACAATAGTTATCATTAATAATTCACTTTTACATTGACTATCTAAATAGTGAAATGAACTGCTTGCCTCCAGACGAGTTCGCATAAACGGAGTTCCACCGTATAGTAATTTATGGGGAATTTCAGAACAGTTTGCCAATTTACTTCACAGTGAATTGTTTCTTGATCTTCCTAAAGTCAAGTTAAAATCATCGGTTTTCTTTCGTCGAGTGCAACGCGAGAATGAAATCGTCGAGCTTAAACATATCGAAACGACCGAAAAACTCGTCTTTATTTATTAGATAAGCATTGAATTTCGGATTCGCCGGTCTGTTTAAAGAAATCGGTGTCACGATTTTCAGGCGCAGCCGCCTGTTTTCTTTATTGTTGAAAACGTCGGATAATGAGGACGAATATTATTATATGTGCCACAAAGGCTCCACTGTAACGTTACAGTGTAATTAACGTCAAAGCAAGAGAGACGAGGATCGACTCTCACCTTGAAATATAATGGTCCCTCGGCATGTGACGAACTCTTCTGCACTGTCCATCGATCGTCGTCCTTTCAGGCCTTACCACCGCTAACCTGTAGCAACAACGCTCAATTAAAAAATAAAAGAAGAACAAACAAACACGCCTATTCATCGGCGATCTCACCGCCGTCGTTCTTGTACCAAGCATTTTAATTGCGTTATTCGGTACCGTTTTATGTTAACGCCCGAGTAATCGCAACGGAAACCTACTTTCGCGATGGAAATGACAGCAACATCGTTTTATTTTTATCGATTTTAAACTTCGTACCTTGCTCTCGTTTCCAAGAAGAGCTAGAACCTGTTTTTCCTAGCTTTTCCATGGCTTGAATGCATTTTCAATTTTCCAAGAACTGTTTCAATACGATATTGATGACTCGATGAATTGTTAATTTCTCGGGCTGAAAATTTTTACATATATTTTTCAAAATCTCTTGCAAATATGGTGAAAATTTCACGAATTTAAGTCCATCAGTTTGAATATAAAAAATTCATAAATCAGTGCAGCTCTTCTGCTCGTTTGGGGAGGGATGTAATTTTTTAATACCTAAAGTAAATGTGATGTGAACCGTGATCTTAAAAATTCTAATAAAAAAAAGTTGTAGTAAAATTATAATATTGTCTATCGGGTGAAATACGAGTGTCAAGATATTATTATTATTAATAGTAGTATTGCTAATATTATTACTATTATTAGTATTATTAGTATTATTAGTAGCATTATTACTACACACTATTATATTATTATTATTGGTAGTATTATTATTAGTATTACATTATTATTATTATTACTATTATTATTAGTAGCATTATTACTACTATTATATTATTAGTAGTATTACATTATTATTGTTACTATTGTTATTAGTAGCATTATTAGTACTATTATTTTATTATTAGTAGTAATACATTATTATTATTATTATTATTACTAGTATTATTAGCAGTATTACATTATTATTACTATTATTATTATTAGTAGCATTATATTACTATTACTGTCATTACGATCACAGCATCCGTCTCGTCGATGCCAAATAATTAACCAAATAAATCAGCCGATCACCGAAGATTTTACCTCATCAATTCCTGGGACGTTTCTCTTTCCGTCGCAGCATCGAGCAGATCGCTGACCTTCGCCGCGTCCTCGTCGTCCTTGACCATTCCATCGATGCCCTGCTCGATCTGGGACTGCGATTGCTGCGATGGCGGCGGCGGCAGGGGCGGCGGGGGTGGCGGAGGCCTATCGAAGAAGGACCTCTCCTCGTCCTGTGCATTTTCCGGGGAAGACGTCGCCTCCGATGACGACCCATACGTGGTCACGCTCGGCGGGAAGCTCCGCGATTCTTGTCTACCTTGCAGCGTCTCCCTGTGCCGTGTTCTCGTCAGCGACTGCAACGATACAAGAGATAGTTCTCCGATAAAATAGCCCACCCTCCTTTCTCCATCGATATTTCACGAAAGAACGTAACCCATATTAATGAACCTATAAACCTGTATTTTTTCGTTGTTCTACATTTAATCGTTCGCTCCGTCGAAACTGCCGCAGCTAGCTTTTTGCGCAAGAATGCATCGAATTGAACGATCCCGGGTGCTCGGGCAATTCGGTATTTCTATTACCAGCTTTATGGAAACTCGATAAAATAACGCGTTCAGCCTTTTTGGACGCTTGATTCATTAGTTATGGAACGTTTAAGGTTCTTGGAAGATTTAGGGGCAGTTTAGGGGATGATCGATCCTCGGACGGTCCTGGAGACATAGAGAGAGAGAGAGAGAGAGAGAGAGAAAGGCAGCGCGTGAGAGAGCGCGCGAGAGAGTCAGAGTGCGAGAGAGACAGAGCGCGAAGGACAGAGTGCGAGAGAGTCAGAGCGCGAGAGACAGCGCCTGAAACAGAGCGCGAGAGAGTCAGAGTGCGAGAGACAGAGCGCGAGAGAGTCAAAGTGCAAGAGAGTCAGATTGCGAGAGAGTCAGAGTGCAAGAGAGTCAGATTGCGAGAGAGTCAGAGTGCGACAGATTCAGAGCGCGAGAGAGTCAGGGCGCGAGAGAGTCAGAGCGAGAGAGAGACAGAGAGAGAGAGAGAGAGAGAGAGAGAGAGAGAGAGAGAGAGAGAGAGAGAGAGAGAGAGAGAGAGAGAGAGAGAGAGAGAGAGAGAGAGAGAGAGAGAGAGAGAGAGAGAGAGAGAGAGAGAGAGAGAGAGAGAGAGAGAGAGAGAGAGAGAGAGAGAGAGAGAGAGAGAGAGAGAGAGAGAGAGAGAGAGAGAGAGAGAGAGAGAGAGAGAGAGAGAGAGAGAGAGAGAGAGAGAGAGAGAGAGAGAGAGAGAGAGAGAGAGAGAGAGAGAGAGAGAGAGAGAGAGAGAGAGAGAGAGAGAGAGAGAGAGAGAGAGAGAGAGAGAGAGAGAGAGAGAGAGAGAGAGAGAGAGAGAGAGAGAGAGAGAGAGAGAGAGAGAGAGAGAGAGAGAGAGAGAGAGAGAGAGAGAGAGAGAGAGAGAGAGAGAGAGAGAGAGAGAGAGAGAGAGAGAGAGAGAGAGAGAGAGAGAGAGAGAGAGAGAGAGAGAGAGAGAGAGAGAGAGAGAGAGAGAGAGAGAGAGAGAGAGAGAGAGAGAGAGAGAGAGAGAGAGAGAGAGAGAGAGAGAGAGAGAGAGAGAGAGAGAGAGAGAGAGAGAGAGAGAGAGAGAGAGAGAGAGAGAGAGAGAGAGAGAGAGAGAGAGAGAGAGAGAGAGAGAGAGAGAGAGAGAGAGAGAGAGAGAGAGAGAGAGAGAGAGAGAGAGAGAGAGAGAGAGAGAGAGAGAGAGAGAGAGAGAGAGAGAGAGAGAGAGAGAGAGAGAGAGAGAGAGAGAGAGAGAGAGAGAGAGAGAGAGAGAGAGAGAGAGAGAGAGAGAGAGAGAGAGAGAGAGAGAGAGAGAGAGAGAGAGAGAGAGAGAGAGAGAGAGAGAGAGAGAGAGAGAGAGAGAGAGAGAGAGAGAGAGAGAGAGAGAGAGAGAGAGAGAGAGAGAGAGAGAGAGAGAGAGAGAGAGAGAGAGAGAGAGAGAGAGAGAGAGAGAGAGAGAGAGAGAGAGATAGAGAGAGAGACAGAGAGCGAGAGAGTGAGAGCGCGAGAGAGTGAGAGCGAGAGAGAGACAGAGAGAGAGAGAGAGAGAGAGAGAGAGAGAGAGGGAGGGGCTGACGGCGACTGTTAATTTCGAAAAGCGTAACGTCATTCATTAATATTAAACTACGGGCTGCCGCGCGTCTGTTAACAATGCCGCGCCGGCCAATTGATTGGGACCCGGCGTAATGCTATTTTACGGCGGCCGATAACGACCTCGGGAATTATTTTAGGCAATTAAGCGTGGCAATTATTCATATCAGAAAACGCGTATGCGTAACCAATGTTATATCTCGTACGTTAATTCGACCCGCGATGAGCCGTAATGCTCCCTAATAGCTGGATGATGATTACCACCGCCGATTTGCAAATCTCTCGAATTCACCCGCCATTTTCCTGATCGCCCGGCGATACAACGCGTTCTTTCGTTGCGGTTCGCGGTCGTTGAACGTGCGAATTCCATGAGCCAGATAAAAATTCGTTTATCCTGCTCGGAAAACAGGAGCAGCACTTTTATTCGAACGACGGACAGAAAATGAAGACTATCATTTTAATCGACGCAATCGAATAGATATTAAATCGAATACAAATTTATGTGGGTAAAAGATTAGCAGTTCGAATAACAGTTTATTCGAATATGAATTCATTCGATCAAGATTTTATTCGAGCGAGAATTCATTCGATTCAGATTTTATTTAAACAAGAAACCATTCTCGATTCAGATTTTATTCGAATAAGAATTCATTCGTACAGGAATTCGTACGAAAAATAATTGATTTCGAATAAAAACGATAGAGTACAAAGTGTCTCGTCATAGTTCATCGACTCATCTCTACCGTATCATTTTTTCGGATTATTCGAACAAAGAATTCCTCGAATAATTCGAACAAAGAATAATCGGATTAAATATACAAAATAATTCACGACGAAAATAATATTCGAATAAAATGTTCGACCGTGATGAATTCGTTCGGATAATAATCTTCGACAAACAATCCCCTCGAGACGATCCGAAAAATGCCGAAAACTCTGGCTCCGAATGGCCGGCGCTTCCGGAAACTTGTAGAAAACCGCGCGCGTATTGGCGATCTCAATTTTCCGGGTTTCGAACCGTCCGTCGGAAAACAAACACGTTCCGCGTAAACAGCGACGCAGCGGCGCGACGCGGAGTGGTCCCTCGCATAGAGCAGAAAGTAAAAACGCGTAGAACCGTGTGAAAAAAAAGAGGAAAGAAAAAAGAGTGGCACGGTCAGGCTGCTCGAATCTGCGAAGCCACGCCGAGTATTAATAAAATCGAATGGAATTTAATTTCGCGACCGGCACGCCGGAATTAACATTCTCGGCGTGTTTATCGGCCGGCTGCGAGCCGATCGGATGAGATTTTATATCGTCGCGGCCCCCATTGTTAATTGGCCGGCTCCCGGGCCTTGCTCGCAATTAAGCCGTCCCGTTAATTCGAAGGAGTCGCGCGCGAACTTTCGATAAAAATGCTGGCCCCTCGCTCGTTAGCCAATTGCCTCCGCGGGGAATAAATATTAGGCTAGCCGCGCCGCGCGTCTCGCCGATTTTTCGAACGATCATTTTTTCTCTTATTTCTTCCTTGAAAGTAATAAATCGACGCTAGATCCTGCGAAGCAGCGCCGAAAGCAGCTGTTTTCTATTAGTTTGTAAAAGCAAAGATAAGACATTTATTTCGATTCTTAACGATTTATTAGTATAATACTTGCCGCAGGAGTTATATCGAATAAATAAACTCATAAATGTGTCTTTGCAATCTGATTGATATTAAATCAAAAAATTAGCGACTCGTCATTTGAACGGATCTCCGTGAAGCTAGCGTTAAAAAGGAAATAATTAACGTTTCTTTAAATCTGTTTCAAAGTGTTCACATCTCGGCATTTGATCTCCATTACAACGCTGTAACAGAACGAGCGAAGCGATCGGAGACGATCGAAGGCAGTCGTTCGTCGAAAACCGTGCGCGCGAAAATTGATGCGAAAAGATTTAATGTTCGGAGTAATTTAGGGCAGCGATATTTCAATCCGTTGTATAATAAATCGACGAGACGTTCTTTTATCAACGAGGGGGTCTCGCCGCGGCGAAAAATTCGGACGGGAATAAATCCGGCTGTCTAGGGGGGCGCGAGAACGGCGATCCTAATCGTCCGATGAAATTCATGCTGTCCTGTTCTCCTTATTCCGCCGATTCCCTTGGCCCATTTATCCCGAAGCCGGTCACAATTGCATCGCGATCAATGAGGGACGACGACGACGACGGTTCGCGTAAGAAAGACGCGACGGAACTTGCTCGAAGCTTCGGTTTTAGCTTTTTTCGCTCGACTTTTTCGCGACGCGAGCTTCCATCGGCGTCGGATGCGGCGGGATTCGGGGATTATCCGCGCGGCACGACGGGCATAGGAATGAAAAATAATGTGGCTGCGCGAGGGGGGAGGGTGCGGCACGGGTGGTTCGAAGGGATTGTATTTTTGAGGCCGGCCGACGCCGAATTTTAATTGGAATAACGCCGGTCGGTCGACGGTAATTCGCATTAATTCCGGGACCTTAATAACCTGGAGCCGGATTGGCCAGCCTGCCGGCCCGACGATATTGGATTACGCCATTGATTCGTCATTAATATCGATCACACGCGGCCGCGCAGCGCGCGACAAGTTTCATGAGCATTCACTAGGAGCCACTCATTGTTTCGCGATCACGTAATTAAACAGAGCTCTACGTAATCCTGCGGCAACGATTGCCCGGCGGTGCTCCGGATTCGCGTAGCCGGCGGGTCGCGCGATCGAAAAACTGCAGAATCCGATTCTGCCGGGAATACGCGCGGGACGAATAAACATATTACGATATTGATTTCACGAGGAAGATGCATTTAACGCGGTGACTGCGGAATTGATCGATCCGAAATGATCGCGCATCGATGCAGGGTTCGGCGTTGTTCGGATGGTTTCGAAGAAACGTTAAATATCCGAACGAATTCCTTTCTCAGTCGGATATTTTATTCGAATGATTGTGTATTCAAATAATTATTTATCCCTGCACGAATCAATTCTTATTCGAATAAAATCTTGTTGTAAGAGCTTGTACGCGATGTACAAGGGTTGCTTCGAACCGCTGTAACTTCGCGAAAAAAAATCGCAGCCGCGATCTATTTCTTTTAAATTGAACAGAAAGGATCGAGCTTTATTGCACTGCAAACGGCATCTCCGGAAAAAATGCTGTAGAGTCCGTGCATTTCGCGAAACTTGACAATTTTACGATTGTCAATGCGACAGACAATGCCTCGCGTTTAAAGGA